AGACACATTATATTAAAATTATCAAAAGTGAATCACAAAGAAATTTTGAAGGAAGCCAGGGATCAAAGGATGGTAACCTACAGAGGAACCTCAATTAGGCCATCAACAGATTTCTCAGCAGGAACTCTTAGGCTGGGATGGAGTGAAATGACATTCACAAAATATTGAAAGATTAAAACTGTCATCCAAAAATATCCTACTTAAGCAAAATTTTGCTTTAGATGTGAAAGAGAAATAAGGGCTTTCAGAGATGAATAGAAACTGAGAGTTCATCAAAACTAGATTTATAAGAAAAATTGAAAGAAACTTTCCTATGAGTGATGAAAAGGCAAAAGTACCCAAACTTTGAGTAAGGTGATAGATAGAATCAGAAAATTGCAACTCTTCCTCAGAATAGGTTTTTTAAACACTTTATCAGAGCATAAAAGCTAAAGCGAAAAAGGCAGAAAAAATCATTATAGATACTTAAATTTAGTAACAAACTCATAACATAAAAAGGAGTAATTTGAGACAATAAAAAAGTCAAAGGGGAAAAGGAAAATGATGAAACCCAAATAGACAAATGAAGACAAGTTGCTGTCAGCAGCAAAAGAACTGTTTGTGAGACGTTTTATATAAACCTTATGGTAAACACAGAACATAAATTTAGAGCAAAGACATGAAATACAGAGAAAGAGAAAACTAAAAAGACAATCACAGAAAAAGACCAAACCAAAATAGCAGGCAGAAAAAACAAAAGAAACAATGGAGATACAGAGCAACCAAAAAAAAAAAAAAAAAAAAAACCCACAAAATGGCAGTACTGATCCCTTGCATAGCAATAATTATTCTATGTAAATGAAATGAACTAAAAAATCAGAAGACACAATATTAGACCTAACTAATGCTGCCTCCAGGAAACTCACCTCAACTCTAAAGACAAATGCAGGCTCAAAGTGAAGGGATGAAAGATGATACTCCAAGCAAATGGCAGCCTAAAAATACCAGGTTTAGTCATTCTTGTATCAGCCAAAACAGACTTCACACCAAAAAAGATAAGAAGAGATAAAAATGAACAGTATATAAAAATAAAGGGGAAAATTCAATAATAAGACATAACAGTGATGAATATATATGCAGCTAACATAAAAGCACCAAAATATATATAATAATTTTTAACACATTTAATTAAAGAGAAATTTAAAGCAGCACAATAACATTAGGGGACTTTAACACTCTAGTTACATCAATGGATTGCTCATCCGGACAGAAAGTCAACAATGAAGCAGCAGCCATTTTAAATGAAACATTAGACGAGATGAACTTAATAGATTTATACAGAACATTCCATCTAAATGCACCCTAATACACATTTTTCTCAAGTGCCTATGGAACATTCTCAAGAGTAATTCCTATCTTGTGACACAAAACTCATCTAGTTAAATTGGAGAAGATTGAAATCATATCAATCTTTTCTGTTCACAATGTTATGAAACTAGAAATCGACTATAAGTGGAAAAATAATCAACTATATGCTGGAAAAATCACAAATATGTGGAGACTGAACACCACGTTATTGAACAGCTATTGAGTAAAAAATCAAAGGATGAATCTACATTTCCTGAAGACAAATGAAAATGAAAATACAACATAGGAAAAAATCTATGGGATGCAGCAAAAATGGTCCTAGGAGGAAAGTTTATAACAGTCCAGGCCTACAATAAGAAATAAGCAAAATTTTAAATAAACAATCTAACCTTACACTCACCTTGGGAATTCTCAGGTGGCTCAGTGGCAAAGAATCTGCCTGCCAATGCAGGAGATGCAAAATATTTGATCCCTGAAGTCAGGAAGATCCCTAGAGTAGGAAATGGCAACTCCAGTATTCTTGCCTGGAAAATTCCATGGACAGAGGCACCTGGTGTACTACAGTCCATGGGGTTGCAAAGAGTCTCACATGGCTGAACACACACACACACACACACACACACACACACACACACACAACCTTACACCTAAAGAAACTAGAAAAAGAAGGCCAGACAAAGCCCACAGTCAGTAGAAAGTAGGAAAAATACAGATCATAGCAGTAATAAATGAAATTCAGACTAAAGATAAAATAAAAAAGATCAGTGTAACTAAGAATTGGTTCTTTGAAAAGAAAAAGAAAATTGATAAACCTTTGACCAAAAAAGAGAGAAGGCTTTGAAAAATAACATCAGAAATGAAAGAGAAGAAATAACATTCATAGAAATATAAATGATTATGAGGGAATATTATGAACAACTATATGCCAACAAATTGAACACCCTAGAAGAAATGGACAAATTCTTAGAATCATACAACCTTATAGGTGAATCATAAATATAAAATCTGAATAGACCAATCACTAGTAAAGAAATTGAAATGGTAATCAAAAAACTTCCCCCAAACAAGATGGCTTTACAGTTGAATTCTACCAGTCAAAGAAGATTTAAGATCTATATGTCTCAAAATATTAAAAAAAATTAGAGGAGTGAATGCTTCCTAATTCATCTTATGAAGCCTAATACAAAAATCAGACAAAAAATAAAATTACAGGTCAGTATCTCTAATGAATGTAGATGCAAAATTCCTCAACAAATGATTAGCAAAATAAATTCAACAATACACTGAAAGGATCCCAAAATCAATTAGGATTTATTCCAGGCATGCAAGGATGATTCAATATCCACAAATCAATCTACATGCTACATCACAGTAACAAAATGAAGGATAAAAATCATATGATCATCTCAATACATACAGAAAAAAGCATCTGACAAGATTTGAAACCCATTTATGATTAAAAAAAACTCTCAATAAAACGGGCATAGAAGAATGTGTGTCTGTGTGTGCACTCAGTTGCTTAGTCATGTCCAACTTTTTGTGACCCCATGTACTGTAGCCCACCAGGTTCCTCTGTCTATGGAATTTTCTAGGCAAGAATATTGGATCAGGTTGCCATTTCCTACTCCAGGGGATCTTATCTTACCAACCCAAGAACTGAACTCACATTTCTTGCATCTCCTTCATTGGCAGGTGGATTCTTTACCACTGTGTCACCTGGGAAACCCATAGAGGAATGCATCTCTACATAATTAACATCATGTATGACAAATCCACAGCTAACATTATACTTAATGTTGAAAAATTGAAAGCAATCCCTCTAAAGTCAGGAAGAAGGCCAGGATGCTGACTTTCACCACTCACAATTGTATTGGAAGTCTCAGCCAGAACGATAAGGCAAGAAGAAGAAATAAAAGTCATCAAATCTGGAAAGAAAGAAGTAAAACTGTCACTATTTGCAGATGACATGTTTTTAAAAAATATTTATTTTTAATTGATTGATGATTGCTTTACAACATTGGTTTGATTTCTGTCATACATCAACATGAACTAAACATAGGTGTATATATGTCTCTTCACTCTTGAATCTCTCTCCCACCTCCCTAGGTTCCCACCTCTTTAGGTTATTACACAGTCCCAGTTTGAAGTTCCTGAGTCACACAGCAAATTCTCATTGGCTATCTATTTACATATGTTGGTGTATATGTTTCCATGTTACTCTCTCAATTTATCCCACTCTCTCTCTCTTCTCACCGACCCTTGTCCATAAGTCTGTTCTCTATGTTTGCATCTCCATTGCTGATCTGCAGACAGGTTCACCAGTACCATCCTTCTAGATTCCATGTATATGTGTTAATATATGATATTTGTTTTTCTCTTTCTGACTTACTTCACTCTGTATAATAGGCTCTAGGTTCATCCACCTCATTAGAACTGACTTAAATGTATTCCTTTTTATGGCTGAGTAGTGTATGTGTATATGTGTATATGTATGACAGCTTCTTTATCCACTCATCTGTTGATGGACATCTAGGTTGCTTCCATGTCCTAGCTATTGTAAGTAGTGCTGCAGTGAAATTTGGGGTATAGGTGTCATTTTCAGTTTCTTCAGGATATAAGCCTAGAAGTGGTATTGCTGGGTCATATGGTGGCTTTATTCCTAATTTTAAAAGGAATCTTCATATAGTCTTCCATAGTGGCTGTATCAATTTATATTCCCACCAGCAGTACAAGAGGGCTCCCTTTTCTCCACACCCTCTCCAGCATGTGTTGTTTGCGCATTTTTTGATTATGGCCATTCTGACCAATGTGAGGTGATATCTCATTGTAGTTTTGACTTGTGTTTCTCTAATAATGAGTGATGTTGAGCATTTCTTCATGTGTTTATTATCCATCCATATGTCTGGAGAAATCAGATGACATGCTTTTAAAAATTTTTTATTTTATTTATTTTTATTTTTTGGAATAAAATTGCTTTATGATGTTGTATTAGTTTCTGCTGCACAACAACATGAATCAGGCATAAGTATACATATATTCCTTCCCTCTTGATTCTCCCCCACACCCTCCTCCTTTCTATCCCTCTAGGTCATCACAAAGCAACAAGCTGAGCTCCCTTTGCTATACAGCAGCTTCCTACTAGCCATCTGTTTTACACATCGTAGTGTATGTGTCATTGCTAGTCTCTCAATTTATCCCACCCTCTCCTTCCCCCATATCCACAAGTCCATTCTCTATGTCTGCATTTCTGTTTCTGCCCTGCCAAGAGGTTCCTCAGTGCCATTTTTCTAGATTCCATATGTATGTGTTAATATACAATATTTATTATTCTCTTTCTGACTTAATTCATTCCATATAACAGGCTCTGGATTCATCCACATCACTACAACTGACTCATTTTTGATCCTTTTTGGGGTAAATATTCCATTGTATATATGTATCACATCTTTTTATCCATTCATCTTTGAATGGACATCTAGGTTGTTTCCATGTCTTGGCTATTGTAAATAGAACTGGAATGAACATTGGGGTACATGTGTCTTTTTGAGTTATGATTTTCTCAGGGTATATGCCCAATAGTGAAATTGCTTGCTTGGTTATGTGGTAGTTCTATGTTTAGCTTTTTAAAGAACCTTCATATTATTCTCCTCATTTCACATGCTAGCAAGATAATTCTTAAAATCCTTCAAACTAGGCTGCAACAGTATGTGAACCAAGGCCTTCCAGAAGTACAGCCTGGATTTACAAAAGACAGAGGAACAAGAGATCAAATTGCCAACATCCGTTGGATCATTGAAAAAGCAAGGGAATTCTAGAAAAACATCTACTTCTGCTTCACTGACTATGCTAAAGCCTTTGACTGTGTGGATCACAGCAAACTGTGGAAAATTCTTCAAGAGATGTAAATGCCAGACCACCTGACCCGCCTTCTGACAAATCTGTATGCAGGTCAAGAAGCAACAGTTAGAACTGCACATAGAAAAGCAGTCTGGTTCGAAATTGGGAAAGGGGTAAGTCAAGGCTGTATATTGTCATTTTGCTTATTTAACTTCTATGCAGAGTACGTCATGTGAAATGCCAGTCTGGATAAAGCTCAAGCTGGAATCAAGATTGCTGGGAAAAAGAAAGTGAAGAGGAATCAAAGAAACTCTTGATGAAGGTGAAAGAGGAGAGTGAAAAGGCTGGCCTAAAACTAAACATTCAAAAAACGAAGATCATGACATCCGCTTCCATCACTTCATGGCAAATAGATGGGGAAAGAATGCAAACAGTGACAGACTTTATTTTCTTGGGCTCCAAAATCACTGCAGATGGTGACTGCAGACTTGAAATTAAAAGATGCTTGCTCCTTGGAAGATAAGCTATGACAAACCTAGGCAGCGTACTAAAAAGCAGAGACATTACTTTGCCAACAAAGGTCCATCTTGTCAAAGCAATGGTTTTTCCAGTAGTCATGAATGAATGTGAGAGTTGGACCATAAAGAAGGCTGAGCACTGAAGAATTTATGCTTTTGAACTGTGGTGTTGGAGAAGACTCTTGAGTGTCCGTTGGACTGCAAAGAGATCATACCAGTCAATCCTAAAGGAAATCAACCGTCAATATTCATTGGAAAGACTGATGCTGAAGCTGAAGCTCCAATACTTTGGTCACATGATGCAAAGAACTGACACATTGGAAAAGACCTTGATGTTGGGAAAGATTGAAGGCAGGAAGACAAGGGGTTGACAGAGGATGGTTGGATGGCATCACCAACTTGATGGATATGAGTTTGAGCAAACTCCAGGAGATGAAGAAGGACGGGGAAGCCTGGCATACTGCAGTCCATGGCTTGCAAAGAGTTGGACACAATTGAGTACTGAGCAACAACAGACATGCAGATGACATCACCCTAATCGCAGAAAGCAAAGAGGAACTATAGAATCTCTTGTTGAAGGTCAAAGAAGAGAGTGAAAAAGTTGGCTTAAAGCTTTTTTTTTTTAATCACTTTGCAACAGTGATAGAGTTTATTTTCTTGGGCTCCAAATCACTGCAGACGGTAACTGCAGTCATAAGAAGGGAATGGATACCCATTACAGTGTTCTTGCCTGCAAAATCCTATGAACAGAGGAACCTGGTAAGCTATAGTCCATTGGGGTCACAAAAAGCTGGATATGCCTCAGTAACTAAGCAAAAAAAAAAAAAAAAAAGACATGATAGGTTTTGGGTCATTGTGTTTTCATTGTCTTTTTTTGCCATGTATTGTTTTAATTTCCCCTTTAATTTCTGCAACAATCACTTGGTTATTTAGTGGCATATTTTTAGCCTCCATGTGTCTGTGTTTTTTGTAGTTTTTTTCCCCCCTATAATTGATTTCTAATATCATAGTGTTGTGGTCAGAAAAGATGCTTGATACAATTTCTGTTTTCTTAAAGTTTTCTAGGCTTGATTTCTGACCCAAGATGTGGTCTATCCTGAAGAATATTCTATGTGCACTTGAGGAGAAAGTATATTCTGCTGCTTTCAGGTGAAATGTCCTGTAAATATCAATTAAACCTATCTGGTCTATTGTGTCAGTTAAAGTTTGTGTTTCCTTATTTATTTTCTGTCCAGATGATCTGTCCATTGGTATAAGTAAGATGTTAAAATTCCCCACTATCATTGTGTTACTGTTGATTTCTCCTTTTATGGTTGGTTGGTAGCATTTGCCTTATGTATTGAGGCATTCATATGTTGGGTGCATAAATATTTATAATTATTATAGCTTCTTGATCATTATGTGTTGTCCTTCCATATCTCTTGTAACAGTCTTTATTTTAAAATCTATTTTGTCTGATATGAGTATTGCTACTTCAGCTTTCTTTTGATCTCCATTTGCATGGAATATCTTTTTCCATTCCCTCACTTTCAGTCTGTGTATGTCCCTAGGTATGAAGTGGGTCTCTTGTAGGGAGCACATATACAGGTCTTGTTTTTGTATCCATTCAGCCAGTCTGTGTCTTTTGGTTGGGACACTTAATCCATTTACATTTAATGTAATTATCAACATGTTTGTTTATCAATTGTTTTGTGTTTGTTTTTGTGGGTATTTTTCTTTTCCTGAGTGTCCTGCCTAGAGAAGTTTCTTTAGCATTTGTTGTAAAACTGATTTGGTGATGCTGAACTCTTTTAGCAATCAAAATTGTCTGTAAAGCTTTTGATTTCCCCATTAAATCTGAATGAGATCTTTGCTGAGTAGAGTAATATTGGTTGTAGGTTTTTCCCTTTTATTACTTTAAAGATATCCACTCCCTCTGGCCTGCAGAGTTTCTGGTGAAAAATCAGTTGATAGCCTTATGGGGATTCCCTTGTATGTTATATTTTCCTTTCCCCTTCCTGTTTTTTTAAACATTTTTTTGTCTTAATTTTTTTAAACATTTTATTTATATGTGTCTTGATGTGTTTCTCCTAGGGCTTATCCTGTATAAGACTCTTTGCTTCCTGTACTTGAGTGGCTATTTCCTTTTCCATGTTAGAGAAGTTTTCAACTATAATCTCTTCAAGTATTTTCTCAGATTCTTTTCTTTTTCACTTCTTCTGAAACCCTTATAATTCAAATGTTGCATTAATAATTCCCATAGGTCTCTGAGTCTATCCTCAATTTTTTTCATTCTTTTTTCTTTATTTTACTCTTCAGCAGATATTTCTATTAGTCTATTTTCCAGCTCACTTATTCACTCTTCTGCCTCAATTATTCTGCTAATGATTCCTTCTAGAGTATTTTTAATTTCAGTTATTATGTTGTTCATTACTGTTTGTTTATTTTCTAGTTCTTCTAGCTCCTTATTAAATATTTGTTGTATTTTCTTCATCCTATTTTTGAGATTTTGGAACATCTTTACTATCATTACTCTAAATTCTTTTTTCAGATAGGTTGTCTATTTCCTCTACATTTATTTGGTCTGGTAGGTTTTTACTTTACTCCTTCATCTGTAACATATTTTTCTCTGTTGTCTCTCTTTCTCTTTTTTGTGATTTTTTTGGACTGTGTTCCTGTTTTACTAGTTGTTTGGCCTGAGGTTTCCAGCAGTGGAGTTTTCAGGAGTTTGGTAGAGCTGGGTCTTGGTGTTGAGATGTGGACCTCTGGAATACCTCACTCTAGGAAATATTAATTTCCTGGAGCCTGAGATTCTCTGTTAGTCCAGCGGTTTGGATTTGGCACTCCCATCACAGGAACTCAGACCCAATCTTTGGCCCATGGACTGAGATCCTGCAAGCCACAGGTTGCAGCAAAAAAAAAAAAAAAAAAAGGAAGAGAAAAATAACCAAGAATAAACATAAAATATACTTATGAAACTAACAAGTATAACAGAAAAAAAATAGACTATATGTGAAACAATCACCTGAGGGTAAAACTGAACTCCAATAGCAAAGAACAATAAGAAAAAAAGAAAACAGGAAAAAGCCAGGGGAGAGGCCTTAGCCAGGGAAGGGCTTAGCTGAAGGTGGGGTTTAGGTGGGGGCAAGGTCGAGGTTCAGGACCCATGCCACCGGAAAGGCCTTGGGTGAATTGGAGGGCAAGGCCCAGGCTCAGCCCATCCTGGCAGGGGCCTCTGGAGTGCCTCTGGCCTTAGGGTGTGGAGGACTAGTCCTGGGGTCTCTGCAGGTTCCCTGGGATCAAGTGGGTGGGGCAGGGAGTGCCAAGCACCTTCCCCCTGTCCTCCAATTCCCAAGGGTCCCTCCTCGGCAAGCATGCCCCTTCCGGCTTGTAAACCTCTCCTCTTCCCTCCCCCAGCTACCTGGCATGTGCACTGGTCCTGTCTGGCCCTACTTCTTCTCCCATCCTTGCTTTCTTTCACATCTCCCCAGTCACTTGGGGGTTCCTCCTGTCCACCTGGTTGTCAGAGGTCCCACACCAGTAGCCTTGACAGTGTTTTATTCATAGAAAACCCTAAAGATTTCAACCAGAAAACTATTGAAAATATATGAATACAGTGAAGTTTCAGGCTATAAAATAAACATTAAAAAATCTGTTGCATTTTTATATGCTAATAATGAGCTAGCAGAAAGAGAAATTAAGAAAACAATTTCACATAATTATGACAGACAAATAACATACTTAGGAGTAAATTTAACCAAGGAGATGAAAGACTCATACACTTAAAATTGTTATACATTGTTGAAGGAAATTGAAGAAAACACAAATAAATGAAAAGATATCCCATGTTCAAAGGTTAGAATTAATGTTGTTAATTAATGTTGTTGTTAAAAGTGCCCTTTATTTCAAAAGTAATCTACAGATTAAATGTAATCCCTATCAAAATCCCAAGAACATTTTTTCACATAAAAGAAAAATTCTAAAATTTATACAGAACCACAGCAGACCCTGAATAGCCAAAGCAATTCTGAGGAAAAAGAACAAAGCTGAAAGTATCCCATGTCCTAATATTAAGCAATATTACAAAGCTACTATAATCAAAGCAGTACAGTATATTAACACATATATATGGAATTTAGAAAGATGGTAACGATAACCCTATATACAAGACAGAAAAATAGACACAGATATATAAAACAGACTTTTGGACTCTATGGGAGAAGGCGAGGGTGGGATGATCTGAGTGAATAGCATCAAAATATGTATATTATCAAGTGTGAAACAGATCGCCAGTCCAGGTTGGATGCATGAGACAAGTGCTCAGGGCTGATGCACTGGGATGACCCAGAGGGATGGGGTGGGGAGGGAGGTGGGAGGGGGGTTCAGGATGGGGAACACATGTAAATCCATGGCTGATTCATGTCAATGTATGGCAAAAACCACTACAATATTGTAAAGTAATTAGCCTCCAACTAATAAAAATAAATGAAAAAAAAATCAAAGCAGTATGGTGTTTATTGGTAGAAAAAAGAGGTACATAAATCAATGGAACAAAATTGAGAGCCCAGAAACAAACCCATACATATAGGAACAACTAACTTGTAACATTTCAATCCTAAAGGAAATCAGCACTGAATATTCAC